TGACCTTGAGGTTCACAGCCCGATTCATAACCTCTGTGCTACCAGAGCTCCTTTTATCTTGCATATGGATATCCAATTGTTCTAACAAATTTATTGAAAAAAATTATCTTTTCTTAGCTATACTGTCTTTGTCCTTTTATATTAAATCATGTATGTATATATTTATGAACTCTATTGCATTAATCTATTTGTCTCTCTTTACATCAATACCATATTTTCTTGATTAGTGTAATTTTATAACAAGTCTAAAAAAATCAGGTATTCTTATTTTTTCAAAGTTGTTTTGACTATCCTAGATTCTTTGTACTTCTATATGAATTTTAAAATCAGGTTACCTACTTATAAAAAATTTTGTTGTGATTTTGATCACTATTGTATTGAATCTATGAGTAAATATGGAGACAACTCACATATTAACAATATTAACAATGAGTCTGACCCCTCAACACAGTACATTTTTTCATTTATTTTGGTCTCTTAATGTTTCTTGGTACGGTGGAGAGTCAGAGAAAAAGAGGAAGACCTTTTCCTTTTTTTTTCTTTCAGATTTCTGTCTTAAGTATTTCATTTTTTATGCTATTGTAAATGGTATTATTTTTTAATTTAAATTTCTGATTATTTGTTATCAAGCATATAAAATAAATTGATTTTCTACTCTGAAACTGCTAAAAGTTTAAACCACATATTTAAGTAGCTTTTTAAATAGCTGGCATAGAATTTTCTAGATAGGTGATCCATATCGTAACTACCAGCGGACAGTTTTACTTCTTTTCCAGTCTGGTGGTGGTGACTGTGTGTTGTTGAATCAGTTCCAACTCAAAGCTACCCTATATAGGGTTTATGAGGCTATAAATCTTTATGGGAGCAGAAAACCTCATCTTTTTCCCCAGTCTAGATGCCTTATCTTTCTCTCTCTCCCTTCCTTCCTCTCCCTTTCTCTCTTTCCACTCTCCTTATCTGTCTCTTTCTTTATCTCTCTCTCCCTTTCTTTCTTTCCTTCCTTCTGTTCTTTCTTTCCCCTATTGTATTAACTAAGAAGTTCTGGTAGCATAGTAGATTATGAGCTGAGCTGCAAACCATAAGGTCAGCATTTTGAATCTACCAGCTATGCTGTGGAAAAAAGATCAGGCTTTCTGTTTCAATAAAAATTTATAGGTTCTTGGGAACCCTATACAGGGTTGCTACGAGTCATAACTGACTCAATAGCCTTTAACCACCACCATTAGCACTATATTAACTAAGGCCTCTGATAAGATGTTGAATAAAAGTGGTGAGAGTTGCCATCTTGCTTTGTTCTTATCTTAGAGGAAAAGTCATTCACCAGTAAGTATGATATTGGTTGTGGGATTTTTGTAGATGGTCTTTATCAAATTGAGGAAGTTTCATTCTTTTATAGTTTGCTGAAAATTTGTTCATTGGTTTTTAAATTCAGGAATAGATGTTGGATTTTGTCGTCAATTTTCTGGAAGAGACTGGGTAGAATTTGTATTACTTTTTTCCTTATTTTTTTTTGCTATAATAAACAATTTATTAAAGTGGTCTCCAGAAATTGCCCGTTATTATTATTTTTTTAAAAACATTTCTTTACATGTCAAGTTTTCTTTGACACATTTATACAAGGTATTAAATTTCTATTTTAGGACTTGGTGTATATTTATGCAACCATTAGGGGTTGCATAACAGAGTGCCCTGCACTAATGTTCACCAGGAAACCTTCCTTTAACCCCTAATGGTTTATACCTTCCCTTTAAACCATATAAACATTTTTTTGTCACTCTCAAAGATAATTCTTAAAAAAAAAAAATTACAGTTAAACATCTATAAATTCTTCTTCACTTCCATTATAGTGGAGCAGTTTGTCATCTAATCCATAGTGGTCTATCAACTCAGTGAGATTTCCTTTCTTATTCTCCTCAGACAAAGCTGACTGCAATTCATCAAGTAACAGCTGGCTGCACTTCCTCCACTTCTGTATTAGCAACCTTATCTGTGACAGATCATTCTTTGATCTATACATTTTGACTAGTTTTAACTTCTGAAGAAAGTCTTCTTTCTCTTGAATCTGCTTTACCAAATTTGCTTTTTCTTCCTGTAATCTTTGTTTGGGAAGATTCTTGCTGACAAAATTATTTTGGAGAGCACTATCTGATTTAGATTCACATGCACTGATATTCTTTTTTTTTTTTTTTTTTTTTAAATTTAAGGTTTTTATTGTGGATTGAGTGAAAGTTTACAGGGCACATCATCAGTTT